CTTAACAATAGCCTCTACCTCAAGAGGTAGAGGAGCCAAATGGCTGGCTCACTGCTGCCAACTAGCGGTCAGAGGCGGAACTACAACATAAAAATGAACGGCTGGCAGGAAAGTTGACATTTTAAACCTTAATAAAACAATCCATACAGGGCTTTAGAATATCGATACAGTATCGGGAAATGAAATATCGTGATATTTCAGTGTATCGATATTTTCTTACACCCCTAACATTGATCTAAATCAGGTATGAGCATCTCAGGCAGTTAGGATCCATGCTATTAGTAAAATATACTCTTTGCATGCAAAGTATGAATGCATAATCCATGAAAAAATTAGCAGTATGATGATGGTACAATCACGTTTTCAATATCTTGTGTAGCCTTATAATTGTTGAAATGATATCCATTACAAATAACAATGTTAAAGATTAATCCTTTAACTGTTTATTTAAAAAACTTGGTGAACAGCGAGAACAAAGGAACTGAAAAACTCTGTAATAAGGATCCTATGACACAAAATTGTTGGGAATGTACAAGTATGCACTGAAAATAAATCTTGTGAGCATACTGCAATGTAGTAAGTACAAAAAAAAACGTGAAAGATGTTAAGTCTTTAAAAGGAGCCCTCAAACACACTGAAAAGTAGTTAAAGTAGCTCTGATGCCACAAAAAATTGGCCCAAACTTGTCACAAACTTCTTATTTTCTTAAATTGTGTGAAATTCATGGTTATTTGATCAGGTCTAAAAATAGTCTGATGCTTCAACTAATGAAACTGCCATCAAATTATGAGGCTTTCTGTAACAACTACCAAAAAGAGGCAGCAACTGCTACAACCAGCTCATTTAGTCCACAATTTATTTATATACGTGTTAAGTTCTTCTTTGGCTTTTAGCTTCTCCCTTATCAGGAGTTGCCACAGAGGTTTATCTGTCTCCAAGTCCAATTTCCACCGACATGCTGCTGGTTAACAGCACCGTAGGCGGGCTTTGTTACCCCCAGCCTTGACCAATCCAATCGGGCTACAATCTGGTAAAGCAGTCATCATTATGGTAAAACAGTTGCACCTCTGCATAGTAATCTTTGAAGCTGGATTTAACTTAACATGGGTGTTTAATCAAAACCCCAAAATATGCATTGCTTCTTTTTGGAATGTGCATGACAAATTACCATCTTGAAACAAAACAATAACAACTTCAGTAAATTTGCAAACATATTGATACTGCTCCATAGAGCTCTACTCTCCAGAAGAAATTACTGGTAATAGGAAACGCCTGATATAACTAAAACTGTACATCTTACTTCCAAAATCTGACAAAAAACATCTGCATCACAAATATCTTTAGAAGTTAATATTTGCTGGGTGATACAACAAATCATTACAGGCTCATGTTGTACTTTGACTTTGTACACTATTAGTACATAACCTGGCATGTCTAGTTTTAAATTAATCTCTGTCTAGTCTTCTAGCATTAGCTATATAAAGTCACCAGACATTTGAGTTTTTATACCTGACCAAATCCATCTTAGTTTAAATCTGTAAAGATAGTGTTAATTGTATTTCTAGGAAAGGAAAAAATAAATAAGAATCAGTCAATTTAACAGACTAGATTAAAAAAAATCTGAAAAACAATACTTGTTTGACACAAGCCAGACAGACAAAATAAACACTATTGAATGCAAACATCAGAAGAAAAAAATGCATTGAAAAGGGTTTTTTTCCAATTAGGAGTTAAAAATCCTTCTTAGCTTTAAAATGTCTATCTACGTCACAAAAAAGTAAGTAAGTAAGTAAGTAAGTAAGTAAGTAAACAAACAAACATGCATTATACATAATAAAGGTGCTTCAATTTTCTTGGTCTTATCTCTTAACAGAAGACACAAACGTAAATGACTGACCCTCCCTTACAGTCTGCTCCAACACACAGATAACACAATCTATTGTATGAGTTCACATAACTCCCACAGTTGTAGCCAGTTAATTTCAATTACAAATAAAAGAAAGTTCTTACCATCTTTGGTAATTTAATAATATACCTGTTGCCTGAATAAAAGTAGCATCATTTCAACAGAGTGCAGATTAAGTTAAGAATTAGCAGTTGTAAAATGTTAAAATTTAAATACTGAATGTTTTCTTATCAACACTTTAATAACATGTGATGTAAATTAATCGTCCTGTTTTATCGCTTCTCTTTCTTGATGATGACACAGAGCAGTGACTGTTGCATCATAACACGCTCACAGCTGCAGCAGCTATTTAACTCACTGACATCTAGCTGATGCTAGCCCACCAGCTAGCTAGCAGGTGCAAACATTACAAAAATAAAAGCCGAAATGACCACAAAGTACAGCTAGCTGTGTATTGGTGCGACCAGTCTAGCAGCCGCAAATGTTACCGAAGCTAAATCGCCAACTTCAACCTCTTGACTACAAGTTTAGTACGTACGGACCCAAGCAGCAGAAAGCTAGCTAATGGTAGTTCACCTGTGCAGAAATGTGATACAGCCATACAACCGAAAGCACAGTGGAGGGAAAGAAATGACACAAAAATTGAACCAGTTACTACAATTACCCTTGTGAGTTGCTTGAGAGTGAATGACAGCATGTTTTTAGTTGTTAGTCCCAAGGAAAACGCACCGACAAGCAGAGTTAACACACTGCTCTGATAGACTCGACAGGCGGCTTGAATTTGGAAGATCCTCACGGCTTCCGTCGCCCTGCCGAAAGGGTCGATGGGAATTGTAGGCGGGTGGAAATATCATCCAAAACTCTGAAACCCATTGCTACAAAACAACATTAGTCATACTTTATAATTTGGTTTTATAATTTGTAAGACTGTGTTGTAATTAGGTGTTACG